AGTCTTGTCATGTATGCCGAGTCCAGAGAATAGCATGTATATTATTAGAAGTGTGGCAGCTGAGTATAAACTCACTCTATTAATAAACCTAAAATAATTTCAGCCCTATCCATGCACTAAATATTACTCCCATGAAGTATGTAGAGGGAGGCTGGGGATGATTGTCGCAAATGCTATATTTTAGTGTCTGATATTAACTTTTAAGCCAAAAGTCTAGCAATGCTGATGCATGTTTTGTCTATCATTGGTGTCAGTTTCAAACCTTAAATCTGAATAAAATATGTTCTCCTCAGTGGAGTGGAAAGTGGTTTTATTGTGTTTAAACAAGTGAGCACTATAAAACCACACTGACATATACGCGGACATAAGTGAATTATAATGATTGATAGATTGAACCTTGTTTTAAGGACACGAGTATTTTTGATACATATCAGTGCAGGGTAAGTTATTTAAAGTTAAATCCAGTATAAGTGTAATCAAGATATGTATTAGTAACAACACAAGCTCAAATGTAGCCTTATATACATTTCTGGAGATATTTTGGCCACGTTTACAATGTCAGGTCTTGATGCCCAATTCCGATTTGCTGCCTATATCGGATTTTTTTGCCTTTTTGTTTACACATTCTTTTAATTGTGACCCATATCCAATTCATGTGTTTACACTTGCCATATAATTCATGATGTCGCGTATGCGTAAAGCCAGGTTCTAGCATCTGCGCCACACTAGCCATGATAGAAGATATTATCTTGCTTTTTGCTCTGTGAACTTTATAATGATTTTGAGGCAGAGGAGGAGGGAAAGGGCCGTCATCGCAGCTTGCGCCTATGGTTTATATATGGTGTCCTCCACCATTCAGAGGAATTTGTGGGTATGAGAGAGATCTCAGATCTGGTGGGAGCAAATTGGGTTGACTGACCACTTTCTTCCTTCATGCTTCCTCTGTTGTTGTTTACCGTGTCGATGTCTCCACACAGGCTCTTCCTTCTATGTCATAAAACTGCGGAGAAGTACCAAATTGTCGCAAGTTTAATGACGTGCAAAATGCAATGCCTCAACAAATCCGATCTGCCTGTTTACATGGCAGTCGCATTTTTATATATACGATTTATATCGGATTTATTTTCACATATGAAGTTGGCCTGAAACCGATCTCTGAATATCCGAATGCATGTGTTTTTTTCATGTTTACACAGTCATAGAATAGATTCGATCTGTGTCACATATGAGCAAAAAATTGGAGTTGGGTCACATTTAACTGGCAGTGTTAATGGGGTGTTAGTCTTTAAAACGAACGCTACAGGGCGGTATGACGCCGTTATTTTTCACGCTAACCAGCTGACCGCATACCTCTTTATGGAGGACATTCCTGCTGTTACCAGTTTGTTCAGTAGCTCACCATGTACATTGGTGGACTTGAGAAGCACGACCACAGGGTTCAAGTGCAGCAAAGAATGGTTGCAGAAAGACTAAAACATAAAATAAACAAGTAAATAACAGGGTGAGAAAGTGATTAAATCTGAAAATGTGGTAAAAAAAATCAGGCGAGGGCGTTTCTTTATCTGGATTCCTTTTGAAAACACTATTGGTTGGGTTTTGTGAAGGAAGAGGGTGGGTCAGTCGATCGGTCAGTCAGTCAGTTATTCAGTCAGTCAGTTGACAGCGGCCTCTGGTGGATTTAAGCAAGAAAAGCAGACACAAATGGCACTCGCAAGAGAAATTTTACCTCTGGTGGAATCACGAAAATCAAAAGCTGTAAAATAAACACATATTATACTTCCTGGGACGTTTTTGACACTCTTTAGAAATGCATATAGTAACATGTTTTCAGAATGAGCCTGGGTTGGTTTGTAATCTCATTTCGGGAATTTGTTTGCTTGTTTTGTTTCATAATTGTTTTACTGTTTTTGACCTGGTCATTTGTGACTATGGTGTTATTTAAGGATGTGTTCACACTTAGCTTTGGTTCATTTAAAGGTGGCTTTCAGACTAGCATTTTGCTAATCATCAGCATTTGCTTCTTTCAAACTATAGAAACTCTTTTCTGCACACCTGCAGAACCACTGAAAAAGGGTGGTCTGGTGTACAGTTTTCGACAACTCTAATATTGTTCATGGCTTCTAAAGTGTAGGCAGTCATACTAAACCACTGAAGTGAGCTTTTATATGAAGTGATCAAAGCGTGTGTGTTATTAGGCCTGCTTTCTGGTACTTTAGCAGCTTGGATCACAAATCACAACACATTTACTATTTACCTCCATTTAATCCATCTTTTTTTGTCAGATTTTTGCCACTTTTTAAGTGAGGGTCTATGAGCAGATGTATTCATGTTTGGTTTACTTTTAAATCTATTTTTTTATTACGATTGAATATGATTGTGCACTTTACATATTCACATTAAAGAGACAATGGGAAAATGATGCAGGCAGCTGCAGCAGCAGCTTTCATTTATGCTTTGATAGCCAAAAAATTATGCAAAACATTGTGGGTTTGTGTTGGAATCAGGATTGGTGAGAGAACTTTGCTTTTTTGCCATTCATGTCAAACTTACAGAGTTTAAATTTCAACTGGCAACTAAACAAATATAAGACAGAAAGTAGATTGTATTTTTTTAAACAAATTAATTCAACTACAAATGCAAAACGCATGCATTGTTGACTACCACTGAGAGCAATAAAAATGTAGTGTTGTTCACTTATGATTAGTTTGGCTTAATATATTGTAATACTAGGTGTGTTTATTGAAGGGCTTTCCTGACTATTGTGATGCTCGTCTGAATTATTTCTGCTGTAGAAATTGATTCTAGCTTTTATTTGAAACATTATGTTTGTGAAAATATAATGGTTGTGAAGAGACTCGTGATTTATTCACAATTTATTATTAAAAATTTTAAGCACAAAAATGAAGTGAGCAAATGAAACATTTTTCAAAACCAAAAGCCACTATGCAAACAGTCCTGCAATTAGTTGGGGGATGAATCGCACTCTGGTTCAGACTAGCAAACAAATCAAGTGTGAAAACACTGAACTGGTGTGAACACTGAAGTGTGAACGCTGCCATTCAAACCTACAAACTTTACATACAGTTGAAGTCAGAAATATTAGCCGCCCTGTTTATTTTCCCCCCAATTTCTGTTTAACTAATTGATTTTTTAAACCCATTTCTTCTAGTTTTAATAACTCATTTCTAATAACTGATTTATTTGATCTTTTCCATGATGCCAGTAAATAATATTTTACTAGATATTTTTCAAGACACTTCTATACAACTTAACGTGACATTTAAAGGCTTAACTAGGTTAATTAGGGTAACTAGGCAGATTAGGGTAATAAGGCAAGTTATTGTATAACTTATGTATGGTTTGTTCTGTAGACTATCGAAAATAAATATAGCTTAAGGTGGCTAATAATTTTGACCATAAAATAGTAAAACAAATAAGACTTTATGCAGAAGAAAACAATATTATCAGCATACTGTAAAAATTTCTTTGTACTGTAAATCATTATTTGCGAGATAAAAAAAAATCAAAGGGGGGTTAATTATTCTGACTTCAACTGCATATTTGTCTCTGCATGCTTCCAAACAAAGCCTGGTGGGGTTCCATTGGAATTTGAACAGAACAAGAAGAACCATCTAAACATACCAAAAATAGAATATGATGATACTAGATGCAACTAAAAAAAGACAAAATGCTCAAGCATTCTTGTTTTTTTTTCTTATAATGTTGCCCATTTCTGTTTAAATACAGGTGACAATAATGAATCTCCTAGATGCAGATGTTTGTTGATGCATAACTAATCAAGCAATGTTTTGTAAAACAATTTGTTTGAGGTGATAATAAAAAATATACCCCATGTATACATCATCAAATATACATCCATCATATACAAAGAATAGCCTACCTTCATCCCAGCATACGGCACTGTTTCGGATGTTCAGTGAGTTTTAATACTTGTTCCAATTCTGTTTTTTTCTATTGAACACAAAAGAAGATGTTTTGAAGAAAGCTGAAAACTAGTAACCACTGACTTCCATAGTATTTTTTTAAAGGTTTTCAGCTTTCTTCAAAACATTTTTGTGTGTGTGTGTGTGTTTGACAGAAGAAAGTAACATAAAAGATAATGTCCACTTAAAAGTGAGTAAATGATGTTAAAATTTTCATTTTTGGGTAACCTATTCTTTTAAAGGTATAAACATTCTCAACCCTGTTTATTTACTATAACGTTTTTATTTTGAATCAGTATTTAATTTTTTTTTAATCCCCCTCTTGGTATTTAAACTTTACAGTTTTAGTAGTTTTGTTGCTTTTTGTGTTTTCTTTTATTATTTCTTGCTTTTTTATGCGTCTATGTAGGTTTTTGACAGTTTTTCAAGTTAATATAAAATGTTGTACAATCTGAAAATTACTGGGTTCTACCCAATCGATTTGTGTTAGGACAGCATCTCAAGAATTGTGTTGTTTCAGCTAATTTTCAAATATGTTTAAACAAGCAGCAGAACAACTTTTGTGTAAATAAAAAAGTAAAACAATGTTTATTTTAAATATATTTTTTATTGTAAAATAATAACATTTATTTATTTATTTATTTAGTCATTGTTTAAGTTAACTGAAACAACTCACGGGCAACATGCTCTGCCTCTGTTTTAGTGTTGAATGAACTTTATCTTCTTTCCAGGGAAAAAAAACTGTGAAACCGCTTTGTTGTAGCCAATACTTTAAGGTATGTGTCCACTCAGAAACTGCCTTTCAAAATTAAACCTCAAACATATTTAACAGAAAAGATTCTGTCAACTTATCCCACTCTTCTCTCTAAATTTCCATCAATTCCTCCAGTCACATTTGCATGCTGTTTCAAAATAGTTGCATAAATAAGTGTTGTTACTCTAATAAACATCATGTGGTTAATTAGTAAAGCTGCTAGTAGTCAGACATTGTTATTGTTAGACAGAAGATGGACAGGATAATATACAGCGCTATACAGTAGTTCTATATCTCTGTCTCATGGCATTTGGCAGGGGTTTCTTGAGTAGCTCCATGTTAAAGTAGAGCAGGCCATGTGGGATGTGGTTGGGAGTCACATTCGGGTCAAGTTACACACAAAAAATCAGGTTGTAAGGACTTCTCACACCCCTCCCCAACACTGCAGTGTTTAGCTCCAGAGGGTCCACGCGCTTCTTACAAGTTTTCTCCAAAACTCGGCCAAAGATGGGACGAGACGTTGGGAGTTTACTTCACGTTGCGTTTATCCAGCGAGATTAGGATTATTTACACCTGAACTTTTTTCTAAGCCACTTAGGTGGAACATTCCAAGGACCATTTAAAACGTTGGGAATTATCTAAATCATCACCTGGTTTACTTAATTTATATTTAAATTCCTTATTTATTTAGTTTGACTCGTTTAAAAGAGTGAGCTAATGAATTTAAAGTGAGTATGAAAAAGTTTGTCGTTACTCTGCTCATCTGGGCGCTGACTCTCGGCGCGCGCTGCTCGTCCGTTGCGCCGGTGAAGAGACACTCCGGCGCGGATGACAGCGCTTCAACACTAGCCTTTGTGTTCGATGTGACCGGCTCCATGTACGACGACCTCAAACAGGTGATAGAAGGTGCATCTCGGATTCTGGAGAGAACACTGAGCCGCAGGACAAGACCAATCAAAAACTTCGTCCTGGTTCCTTTCCATGACCCAGGTAAGCTATACAGTACAAGCATGTTGCAGTCTCATGATGAATAATGTCAATTATGAATCACACATGTTAGCTATGTTGACTTATTCAAGTGATTTCTTGGAAGGAAAACATTTTGGTCGAATATAAACAGTAAAGTTCAGCTAGAAGAGACTTGAAAATGTTTTGAGAAGTTTTTGTGGTTGTATAAATGAAGGATATCAATGAACTAAATGAACAAAGTTTGGGCTGCTACAAACATTTTCGCCAGCAGGGACCGCTGAAAGGTAACGATGCATGGCATCATGGTGAGGTGTTACAGATGCTCTGTCAGTTTTTGATGATTATATATTCTCATATAGAGAATTACAGAAGTAATGTTTTCTAAGTTGTTATTGAGTTGTTGAGAAATGTCTTTATTTTATTGCCTTTGTCAGATAAACAAACAAACAAAAACACAATGAATGGCCTCTCAAGGGTGCTGCCATGACTGATGTAGCATTTACACAATTTTTACCTAAAACCCTTTTATAAACACAATAGGCTAATGATGTTTGGTGGCTAAAAAAACAGAAGTAAAAAAATATATATTATCAGAGTTAAAGTCCTTGATTGAATTTGACATCACCCGTTTTCACAATATATATATATATATATATATATATATATATATATATATATATATATATATATATATATATATATATATATATATATATTACCAATCATGTCATTTACATGAATATTATTACACATTTAGTCTATACGCAAACATTTGACATGCAAAATAACAGTGGAGGACTACTGGACAATATGCAGAGGCATTAAGTATTTCTTTACAAAGTGAAGCATTAAACAAACTATTATATTACCAATGATTTTGAACCCTCTGTTTTTGGACGGTGGAAGGAAACTTGGGAACCCAGGGGAAACCCTTGTGAGCACGGGGAAAACTTGTAAACTCTGCACAGAAACATTGACTGGCTTGGTAAGGACTAGAACCAGAGACGTTCTTGCTGTGAGGCAACAGTGCTAACCACTGGGCAACAGTGCCACCCATCTAAGAAAGGAGGAGTAGGGGTGGAAGGGGGGATTCTTCAAAACGAAGATGGCTGTTATATGAAACTTAGTGTATTTATAGTGGCTTAGGAATCGTCTGATTTGTGAATCATAAATTGAATAATACTGGACTGGCTGCAAGCAATCATAAGCACAAGATCCTCTCGAAATTAGTTTATAAATTTCACTTATTGAGGGATTAAAGGTATAGTTCACCCAAAAAAAAAAGAAATCTGTCATGATTTACTCACTCCTTACTTGTTTCAAAACCTTTATGGGTTTCTCTCTTTTGTTGAACACGTTTTTTTTTTTTTTATGCTGGAAACCTGTAACTTCTTTACAAAGTGACACTGCCAACTACTGGCCTGGCATGTATTATGCAGTATTTTCTATAGTTTTTAGTCCATCGGTGCTCTAAATCTGCCGTTTTCAGACTGTTTAACGATTTTTTTCCGGCATAGACTGATTCACAGTGGTATGAACCATTTTGGGGTAATCAAATGCGCTTATAAAATCAATTCTTTTAATTATTCATAATATTATATAAAACACAGATCAGAGGAAACTTATTCGCACTATTTAGAGGATTGACCCCCCATACATATTGTTTTGAGGTCCTTCAGGGGGATCAAGCGTTAATTAGGGGAGTCAACACCCCCCAAACCCCTCTGTAATTCGCACCCTGGATGAAAGATTAATTTAATTTGCCATCTGAGATTTACTTATCTGTTTGGTCACACTTTACAATAAGGTTCATTAGTTAATGTCAATTAATGCATTTATTAATATTACAAACAATGAACAATACATTTACTATTGTATTTGTTCATGCTAGTTAACATTAGTAAATGAAAATACAGTTGTTCATTGTTAGTTCATGTTAACTCATGGTGCATTAACTAATGTTAACAAGCATGGACTTGGATGTTAATAATGCATTAGTAAATGTTCAATTATGATTAATAAATGCTGTACATGTGTTGTTCATGATTAGTTCATGTTAGTAAATGCATTAACTAATGAACCTTATTGTAAAGTGTTACCATCTGTTTTATAATGTGCTCTTTTCAATTTATAAATGAAACAAATCTTTTATTTTTTTAAATGTACACTTTTGCATTAAATTATTTTAATTATTTATTTACCAACAATCATGTTTAATAGAGAAATTAAAATACCCCATTATAAAAACCTTCAGGAGAACCTCCAGAAACCTTGAGGAAACTAATAGGGAATTAGTTTTTACTTTTTGGCTGCTTTACTTTATTGGTGTCAAACCCAACAGGCACACTGGGTCAAATAACTATTTTTAATGCACCTTTAAACAACAGACCTGCAATTTATTCAAACAATTCCACAGATTTTCTTGAACTGTTCAATCTCTACACAACGTCCTCGTTTGTCAGTTTGCATTATTCATTGTTTGTCACACTCATTAAATCTGTTTAAAATTCACATCTGGTCACAGACTGCAGCGAAAGCATTGTGTTCCCAGGTACAAATCTAGCCTGCATGGTTCAAACCAACTATCTGTTAGCCTTGGCGGTGGGGGGTGGGGGAGGGATGGGGGTGCCAGAGGAGCTGATGAGAAGCACATGTTGTCTGGTAGTATGTAATTAACACAATCACCCCCGAGAACTCCATCCAATTCCCCGGAAGAGTCGACCCAGCCCCCCAGTCAGAGGAGAGACGTCATTCCTAGACTGGTAGGGGGATGGTGCCAGTCCTTCCCTCACCTTTTAATGTGGCATTCCCTTGAGGATCTTGTAAACCGCTGAGATCACAAAGACAGCCGGTGACAGACAGAAAGGCGTGACAGATACACAGCTAATGACCCCTCACAGCTGAGAGAGGCATGGAGAAAGTGTGGAGAATGAAAATGAATGCTAGAGCTGAGGCTTGAGTTGTTCAGTTTATTAGTGTTTGTTGAACATTTTTTTTTTTAACTAATCTCAGATGGTGTGCTAGTTTTACATGGCTTCTTCCCGTTTGTAAGGCGAGAGGGGAGTTTGAGCTCAGGTAGATCTCGAGAACTCCCCTGCTGTAATAGCTAATGAACAGATAGTAATTTCTCTTAAGAGGTAACTGCTTACTACAAGGAGCATATCTATTGTGCAGATTTGGATTAGTCAATTAACATAAGTTGCATATTTTTGGACGGTGGGAGGAAACCTGGAGGAAACCCACGTGCACAAGTGGAGAACGTGTAAACTCTGCACAGAAACGTTCGCTAGCTTGGTAAAGACTAGAACCAGTGACGTTCTTGCAGTGAGGCAACAGTGCTAACCACTGGGCCACCGTGCCACCCATCTAGGAAAGGAGAAGGAGTAGGGGTGGAAGGTGGGATTCTTCAAAACGAAGATGGCTGTTATATGGAACTTGGTGTATTTATAGTGGTTTAGGAATCGTCTGATTGGTGAATCATAAATTGAATAATGCAGGACTTGCTGCAAGCAATCATAAGCACGTAATCTTCTCTAAATTAGTTTATTAATAAACTTCACTTATTGAGGGATTTAAGGGGTAGTTCACCCAAAAATAAGAATTCTGCCATGAATTACTCACTCCTTACTAGTTTTGTTGAACACATTTCTTTAAATTGCTGGAAACTTGTAACCTGTACTATTGACTTCTGTGGTATTCTGTGGTATTTGTTTATGGATAGAAAAATAGAATTAAAAATATATATTTTTGGGCGAACTGTCCTTTTATCTGGGTCATCACGGTGACGCAGTGGGAACCATGATCATCTTACAGAAAGAAGGTTGCTGGTTTGAATCCCGGCTGGCCAGTTGGCATTTCTGGCCATAATGAAAATTATTAACACAAAATAAAAAAGGCTCTGGTTTCCCCCACAAGTCCAAAGACATGCGCTATAGGGGAATTAAATAAGCTAAATTGCCCATATTTGTGTATGTGGGTGTTATGCAAGAATGTATGTTTCCCAGTGCTGGGTTGCGGCTGGAAGGGCATCCGCTTGCGTAAAACATATGCTGGATAAGTTGGCGGTTCATTCCGCTCAATCCGCTGTGGCGACCCCTGATTAATTAGCAAGAAGATTGCTGGTTTCAGTCTCTGCTGAAGTTTGCATGTTCTCCCTGTGTTCAAGTGGGTTTCCTCCGGGTGCTCCAGTTTCCCCCACAGTCCAAAGACATGCGCTGTAGGTGAACTGAATAAACTAAATTGACCATAGTGTATGAGTGTGTAAATATGAGTGTGTTTGGGTGTTTCCCAATACTGGGTTGCAGCTGGAAGAGCATCCGCTGAGTAAAACATTTGCTGCAATAATTGGCTGTTTATTCCGCTGTGGTGACACCTGGTAAATAGAAGGAAAATGAGAAAAAAATAATAGTGCTTTTGTTATAATCCTGTATTATTATTTCATTAAAATAAAAATCACACCTGGCTGGTTATCTAGTGTGTTTTATGCTGGTCTAGCTACTCTACTAAATTTACACGTGGTTAACTGTTTAATTTTATTTATTATTAATGATAATAATAATAATAATAATAATAGTACCAGTAACTAAACTAGTCTTAATAGGTTTATTATAAAATAACGTGAACAAAACTATAATATAATATAATATAATATAATATAATATAATATAATATAATATAATATAATATAATATAATATAATATAATATAAAACTATATTTGAATTCAGTGTAATGTTTGTTGGCATTCAATGAAGAAGATCATAACTTAAAAATGCTTTTATTTTAAAAAATGACATCATGTTGTATTGATCTGTCCCATTTGCTCTAAAAAGAAGATCGATTTCACCTCAAACATAATCCAATTTTTTTCCTCTTCTGTTCATTTTACCAAAGCACTGTCACAATTATAATCCACCTCTTTGTCTTCCATTTTTAATATCTATTATTTTTTGTCAGAGTATTAAACAAGCCATGTGTGGACATCAGACTTATACTACCTGACTATTGTAAATAATCTTCATAATAAAATTCTTCTGTATGCCGCTTCATCCATGTGCTGTGCTGTATATTGAGCTTTCTAATCAATCAGATTCTGAGCGAGTCCAAATAAGTGCCAAATTCAGGGAGGACACAATTCATCCTCAGACAAAAGAAAGGGAGAGACAGAAACAAGAGACAAAGGGGAAGAGGTCAGGGATTATCTAGGTGGATGATGACAGTCCTAAACAATGACGCTATGAGGTCTGCTGTTGCACGAGGACTGCTGGAATTATGCATGCTCTATAGTTTATTGCCTCAGCTGTCAGGTTCAGGACATTCATTTGTAATCGCAGATGTTGATGAGGTAGAATGCGGGACAAATATGTTTGGTGATTGGAAGTTGGCTGGGTTTAATGCTGGGTTGTTAGTGGGTTCTAGAAACGGACACTCATTAGGAGGGTCGTGTCTGTGGAAGGAGCTTTAGTTGGAGATAATCCTCACTGTTTAACATACATTAATGGGGGTGAAGAAGGTTAAGCTTTTAAAAACTTCCGCTCCTCAGAGATTTGTTTGTTGAAGCGTTCAATAAACTTTCAAAACACCCAATGAAGCTTTCCTAAAAAAATGTTGGGTAAAAAAAAACACTTTCATTTAAATTACCTTGTAAAATAAACTTACCTGGAACACAACTTACTATTGTAGAGTGATTCTAGGATTTTCAGTTTAGGGGGCTGAGGCCCATATGAGGGTATAATACTACTGATTATTTCAAAAATAAAATATAATAAATCAAAAATGTTAGACTAATATGGTAAAGTTGTATACTAAATTTAAAAAGTTTAAATGAAAGTGTTTTTAGCAACTTAGTTTTAAGGATATCCATAGTGTGCTTCAAAACAGTGGTACAATTAGCATTTAGAGGATTATAAACATCCGAAGCTTGCAGTTCGTCACTTCAGCATAAATAGATCATCGTTTTTTTTTTGACATCACAACATCAGTTTCTACTCAGTTTTTCTGACCAATCAAATGCTCTCTAGTAACTAAAAAGTCCTGCCTACTTTAAGATGTTGTTTTTCATTGGAAGCGCTTGAGCTCAAGCACTTTTACTAGCAGAGCTGTAATAAAAGCAAAATGCTATTGGCTGTTTTTTTAAGGGGAGGAGCTACTAGATATCCTACTCTGATTTTATGTTTCTATTGAGATTACAACAAACATCAAATAAAAGTATGCTTCACGGGACACTTAAAGCAGTATTCCACTGCATTGCATAGATAATTATATAACATTTGAGCAATAAATGCAAAGCAAGTTGGCCTACAAGTATTTCTCATAACACATACACCTGTTTAGTGTTAATGAACAAAATTTTGCTGTTTGCATTTCTGCATTTGATTACAATAATTTTAGTATACTCAAAATTGTCATTTTTCCTATTTATAAAATTTATTGAACCTTTCTACTTCAAAATGGCATTAAATAAATAAATAATTACACAAACAAATTTCTGTGAATGACTGTATGGTAATTAATGTCACATGCAATATAATATGTTTTATAAAAAAAAATTATTATTAAATTAAAATAGCGAAATGTTCATCAAGAGCTACAATTTTATTGCAGGAAATCTGCTAATGTGTGATGAGGGGTAAATGCAGGACAACAGATTGCTCCCCCTTGACTTTCATTAAACTGTATCTATAACAAAGTGCTGGAAATATGTAGATGATATCACAAACTATCTATAGACACACACCTTGTTCTCCTGTCCAGCACTGCTGTGGTCTGTAGATTAAAAAAAGAAGGAGCTAAAAGATGGGAAGGAGCTAAAGTCTGCAGCCTTTTTTATATCAGATTTAAGAGGGACTGGGATCATGGAGCTAATCGCAAAAGTTTTAAGGGGGCCTAGCAATGCAGATGGTTGAGTCAATTAATCTCAATCGCTTTCTTTGGATAACCAGAATTGTTGTTATTTCTTGCATTTCAAACAAAACAACTGCTTTAATAATGCTTATTGTGGACTGAGACTGATCTCAGAACTAGCATTAGCACAGTTATGGCTCACTGAGAAAGGCAACAAACATTAATGTTGTCTAAACAATGTTTGCTGCTTGTTTAAATTCCTTGTTTAAAACGACACAATTAATGTAATTGTTTTGCCAATTTACTTTATTATGTTAACTTGATTGTTTTTTGTTGGGACATTATAAAGACATTGTGTAGGTGTAAGTAGTGGATGTGTAGTTCTTAACATATGACAACAAAAGTAATCTTAGGTGTTATAAATTATAAGAGAAAGACTTGCTAAAGTTTAATCTTCACTTATTTTGGAGATTTCGAAGATTTTCAAATCAGGTTTTGAGTTTTGAGGTTGCCATCTTGCAGTAGGGCTCATGTTTTAAGTGCAGATCCATCAGAATTCTGTAATTACTGCAATTTTCAAAGTAGTACATGTAAGACTTCTGAATTATTGAATTAGTTTTCTATTATATTTAATATAAAGTTTGAAGCTTATCCTGATGTTTTAGGATTAAACTTTGAATGCCTGTCATCAAATTTAATAAGTCATTACTCTAAATAGTTTTTGTAATATAGCCTATACGTGTGTATGATTTATATTGCCTGTGAAGGTGTGTGCCTTGCTATGTCTGGCAATGTGAAAGTTTTGTGCGCAGTGAAAAAGTTGTTAAAGTTGTTTAATTATGTTTAAGTCACATGACATGCAGTGTTTTTCTGTAGCGCGATTTCTGACAGACTGGCATTTATTGTGAGTAGTTGCTGAATGCAAAATAAACATCAATAAAAACAAAGGCTCAACTCATCTCAGATCCAAAAAAAAAAATGTGAAACATCACCTCCAGTAAGTTATGATGACATATTCATCACTAAAAAAAGTTTTAATCAAATGAGTTTTTAGTAAATCAATTAAATGTGTAATATTGCAATGGTTTAGCTAGCTAGCAAGGTCAGCTGGGATCTTTTAAGTTGTAACAATAACAACATGAATGCTAATAATATAATGTTGATTAGTCGTGTTAATGGCATTTGCATTATGGATTTTTAATAATGCAAAGTTTTTATGTTTTTATGGCAATACTACTTTTGAATAGATATGAATACAGGGAACAGTGTATTAGCGAGCCCCACCATGTTCTATGGTTATTTTAGAGAAGAAAAGGACAAAACTGGGTCTTCCTGCCGATGAAAGTGAGGATGAGATGGGTTTTAGTGACCATGAGAATGATGCAGATTGGACATTTGATAAGAGCAGGGATGCAGACAGTTCAAGTAACAAGTTAACTCTGAGGCAGATAAGACAGGCGTAGTATAGTATATAGAATACTATATAAACATTGTTAGCTAGTAGCTACATTGTTCTGATGCATCTAGATATACTAAACTTGTTATTTATTTACTATAATATTTACTGGAGAAAATATTTATATTTACTGTATGTTGTATACATGATACTACAATAAGGGTTTGTTTTTAATAATATTCAGCAAAAAAGAATGGAGTAAATAAAAGCTGTTGGAATATCAATTGTTGGAAAGTGTGTATAAGGTGTCATTTATAAGTTCTGTGTTAAAGCGTACAGTACTGCAACACCAATTAAATCATTACAAACAACAAAATTAATAATTATAAGGAAAATTTTATATTTAGTTAGATCCACTGTTGGATGTTGTTGTCGTATAGCAACAGATCATAAAATACCTTATAAATATATATTTTTTTCTTTTTTTTTTTACAGCACTTCAAGCTAACTTCAAGTTTTTTATAGATCTATCATAATGCGTACAGTAGAGGCTTAAATGAGTTGAAATGTGTCATAATTAAATTAAGTATGATTTATGTATTACTATTAAGTGGATGAATAATTTGGGTTGTAAATGTTTCTTGATTTCTTGTTTTTTCCCTCTAGACATTGGTCCGGTTTCCATCACAACTGACCCAAAGAAGTTTCAGAAAGATCTTCAAGAGCTGTTTGTTCAGGTGGGCAATAGTATATAAATTATAAGAAGATTGTACGTCAAACCAGTTTATTCAATTTACTGCTTAGTTGCCTTGGTCACCACAGAGACCTACCATTTTTACTAACTGTTAAATAGAAACATTAAAATGATTATTATTTTATTATGTTAACATTTTATTATATAAAAATTAACCAATGCTGTGTTTTTAGTTTATTTTTTCATAAATCATCATTGGATCATATTCTGTACTGTGTTCTTCTGCTGAATTTCTTGGCTTCTTTCAGCACTTCTGTCTTCAGCATTACAGTTTTATTTGCACTCTGTTCTTATTGTCCCTTTGGGCTCTAGTGTAAATACTAGAACTCGTACCCTGAGCCAATACAATATGTGCTTTCTTGAGCTCTGGATAGTGTATAAATGTTGATGTCAATGATGAAGGCCTTGTTGTTCTTCCTCAGGGTGGAGGGGATTGTCCAGAGATGAGCATTGGGGCAATTAAGAAGGCTTTGGAGGTTTCTCTACCTGGATCCTTCATCTATGTGTTCACAGATGCACGAGCCAAAGACTATCGGCTGAAGAGAGACGTTCTCCAGTTAGTACAGCTACGACAGTCTCAGGTACCTGTTTCAGTCTTATTGCAATTCTTTTACAATAATGATACACTGATCTTGATTTTTCACTGCTGATTTTGATTGCAGATTTTTACAAAAAAAAGGCTAATTCTGTTTTTAAAAAAGTCAAAATTAATAAAAAAAATTGTTAAAGATTGTAGATAAAAAATTATATATATATATATATATATATATATATATATATATATATATATATATATATATATATATATATATATATATATATATATCACAAACACGGGCCATACTCGGCCCGCATAACACTCGCCGATGCCGAGTCGGAGCCGGAGGCACCGAAGGGCAGCCGAGCTCAGACCGATTACTGCCTGCTATCTGGGTAGCGTCACTTCAGCCAGCGTTTTGTAGTTAGGAAACATTTCTCCAAAGGAAGTGATCAGAAGTTTGCTGGATTTTCTGAATGTGGGATTTCCCGGTCTTGCAAGCACTCGTTTCACTGGGAAAAAATACTGCAATCGCCATCAGCTGGACAGGAGTAGGAATTACAGCAACTAATTACAATAGATCACCCTCAGCATAATCCGTCAAATGATGGATCACCTTCAGATTTCAGAGTTTTTGACTCTTTTGAAAACATTAAAGCCATAACTTGTTTGCAGATATTTTAGAAATGTGCTAAGTGAACATACTTATTGTAACAGTAACAGACAACTGAGACAGACAACTGAGTTCGGATCCACATGCAGGTTTATTAAGGCAGTCAGGCAAGCAATGGTCAACACGGGTGCAAACAAATGTATAAAGACAGTCCAGAATCGTTGTCAGAATAATAGGCGATTGGTCGAAAGGCAGGCGGCAGACAGGGAAAAAAGGCAAACTAGGTGAGGGTCAAAACACGGGAAAACATAACAAAGGATGTAAACAACACTCGGCCACTGGAGTGAGTGTATGTGCTGCTTAAGTAGCGTGTGTAATCAGTCCTTGACAATCCTTCGGCGGTCTGTGTGTAATCAGCCACAATGAAGAAGCATGTGTGTGTGAGCAGGGTGCATGTATGAAAATGTAGTCCACAAATGGCGGATTTGTAGTCCATAAGCGATTGTGAGTGAATTCCATGAATCTATGGAACTCACATTGCTGGTAATCATGACACTTATTATCTGAAAAACAATGCTGAAATCAGTTAATCTCCTTTGAAAATGTGTGTATATCAGAAGGTTTTGTTTTGGTCTGTGTAACTCCGCCCACTGCTAGTTTACCCAATTCTATTTCATTTTCAGTCAAGATAATACAAAAAAAAAAAAAGAACTAACAAAAACAAACAAACAACAACAAAAACTGTTGATTGCTGATTGCATGTTTGGAGCAAAAATAAAACCAAACCTGATTTCTGGCTGATCGATCAGTGCATCTCTACATCCAGTGATGGTCATGGTGCAAAAAATATGTCAACTTTAAAATTTGCTCCCTAAGGTTGTAAAGTTGTAAGCTGTAAATCTAAATCTCTCACACAGCCCATTTTAAAAATCCATCTGCTCGTCAAGCAATATAACACAATGTTGACATTTAACCCTAACACTCAATCTCCTAACCAAACACTCACTCTCATAAACGTCTCTGTGAATCCAGGTTGTGTTTGTGTTGACGGGGGACTGCGGGGATCGCTCTCAGCCGGGATACAGGGCCTATGAGGAGATTGCTGCCACCAGCTCCGGTCAGATTTTTCACCTGGACAAACAGCAAGTCAATGAGGTGAGACGCATGAACTAGTGTGACATTTATATGCATGTAAATTGCAGATCACACTTAGAAAGTTCACATGCATGGAAATGCAGTTAGAAGTAAGATGGAAAACCAATAAGAGAAAGGAAAATAGTTCAATATAGGTCAAAAGTATGCAGTCATTATGTTAAAGTCTTGATAAAATAAATGATGAAAAAAATCACCGTGTTCTACACAAAGAATCATGATTGTAAAATGTATTTCATTGTAACATGCTGGTTTTATATATTAATTATACAAAGCAGTGAAAGCAATTATTTTGAAATTTAGCGTGGTTAGTTGTACATCAGAAAATAAAAAAAATAATAATTATAATGAAAAAATTATGACATAAAATATAATGATTTTTCAGAGAAGAAAATATTGGCAATTTTTTATTCCTCCACATGTTACAAGAGAAAGTATTGTATATACACAAAGTATATAAACAAACTAACAAAACTGTTTCCTAATTAGAACTCTTTGCAAAAAGGCTTTGAAGCAAAACATTTTTAAGCTTAAAAGTATTTTAAAAATAAGCTCCATGTTTAAAAAAAAATAGTGATTTTTGCTTGAGCAACTATTTTTGATGCACAATATATAGTGGCTATAGAAAATCATAATACCCCTTTGAAATAAGTACTTTATTATTTTATATAGCCGGAAATCAAATCACATTCCAAATGACTTTTCCAGCTTTTGAAATGTTTTTGTAGCTTCCTCCTTACCTGTGTCTTTCTACAACTTTATCCTGCAGGTCTTTTATGTAATGTGAGTTATTGTTTAGATTTTCAGAGGGTATGATGATTTTCTATATATCTATATATTTCCTATATATTTCCTTATAGCAAGAAAGTCACTGGTCAGTTGGCATTTTGTGTGGAGTTTGCATGTTCTCCCTGTGTCTGCATGGGTTTTCTCCAGGTGTTCTGGTTTTCCCCACGGTCCAAAGACATGTGGTACAGGTGAATTGAATAAGCTAAATTGGCCATAGTGTATAAGTGTGTGTGAATGTGAGAGTGCATCGGTGTTTCTCAGTACTGGGTTGCGACTGTAAGTTCATCCGCTAAGTAAAAAATATACAGGATGAATTGGCGGTGCTGTAGCGACCCCTATAAATAAAGAGATTAAGCCAAAGAAAAGTAAATGAATGAATAGTCAATTTCAATTACTTTGACCTATTATTTGCATTTTAAAATATAAGAAAAATAATATACATAATATTTTTAAAATGTTAAATGTATTTTGCATTAAAATGATTTATTCATTTACATGCAGTGTTCACTATAAGTACACCCCTCACGAATCTATCTTTTAAATTCACATTTTTTATAGGAAGCTATACAATGTTAGATTTGTGCATACATACATTAGATTAGTCAGTACTGAAGCCAAATCTGGAGCATATCAAACAAAATAACCCAAAACATCGCTCCACAAACGAGTACAGCCACATATATATGTTTTAGACAAATATTAAATACAAATTTTAAAAAAGAGAGAAAATCAAGAAAAGCAAAACATTTTTGAAATTTTGTAGGTTGTAATTTTTCTTGTTGCAATATTTAGCTTGAATTTAATTGTATAATCTTTCAATTTTTAAATATGTTTGGTGACTATAAATATAGTCATTAATTAATAAATAAAGTAATGTAATAAATTTGTTTTGTTTAAATGCACCAAAATACAATACATTCACAGAGAAATGGATACAAATGCTCATTTTCAAAATCTGGTGTACTCAATTATGCTGAGCAGTGTGCTTTCAGTGTAAAAAAAACAAAACAAAAACAAACAAACACAAAAAACTTTTGCATCTCAGCTCACGTTTGGCATCAATGACTGGTGTCTTTTCTCATTTGATTGTTCCTCACAGTCATTTTGACACTGAGGTTAGAATTTTTGCTTTTAAAATGTTAACAACCTAACAAAACACAGCAGCATCAACATCAGTTATTTGGAGGGGTACAGTTGGACCAATTCTACAGTAATTATTGGGGGGAGAGTGGGCGACTTGTCCTCAGATTGGCCTGGCTAAATTTAGACACACACATTAGTGATTTCTCCTACAGCATTAATTGTACAGCTGTGTTTTGAATCCAAAATCCACTTGGCTCAGTAATCTGAAGGGGGCACGTGTTTCAGGGAACTTAGACTAAACTGAAGCATGTTCAGTCAAAGTCAGACATAAAAGAAAGCAGACCTTCCTCTTTGTGAGACGGTGGTATCATGCATGTCAACACAGGACATGGCAGAGCCGGAGTCCTCCAGCAACAGCTTTGGAAACAGTAATCCATAAGACAACAAGAGAGAAGGGCCAAAAAGTGAAAAAAGCACTTTTGCGAACGTGTGTTTGGAACTGGATATCTGCGTTGTTGATTTATGGTTCTGTGGGGGTGGGGTGCTGATGGTAGTTGTGTTTGAGAGCTTTACCACCTGTACCTGCTGGTGAGCATGACTGGGCAATCTTAAGCTGTTAACACTCTTCATCTCCCTGGACGCTCAGTGAGAACTGTCTCAAGGTCAGGGTCACATAGGTAAACTTTGACTTTCATTTTAAAGAAAACATTGATTACAAGCTTTCTCGTGCATTCTATCTGTAATCTGGATGAAAATGAAGTCTTCTTAATGTAACATTCCACTTTTTTGGGGTAATTTTACAAGTCAAACAGACAGAATTATCATTTTTAATCCATTCAGTGGATCTCTTTTAGCTTAGCGTAGCATTGATCATTGAATCGGATTAGACCATTAGCATCTTACTGAAAAATTACTGAAGAGTATCAATAATTTTTCTATTTATAGCTTGACTTTTCTGTGATTACATTGTGTAATCTGTGCGATTAATCGAAATTGACTCGCAATCGCGATTTTATTTTATTTCTCCTGTCCAGAGCAAATGCATGACTGTCGACTGTGTGTGATAATCTTACCAGCCAATTAAGTGAGCACAGCTGAGTGATGAGTGTCTTGCTATAAAGTCAGCTGAAAGTATTGCCAGTGACACTCAATTTATTAGCAAGCAACAGCTAGGTACAATTTTAGAGTTGTTTTAGCCTTGTTAGTTTGCTGAGTTTTATAATAATATTTTTGTTGTTGTTGTTTTTGTAATAAGCTACACAATTTCCCTACTTTGAGTTTAACTTGTTTACATAAGGTAAGGTCATTTTATCTGTGTTTACGTTTTCTCTAGAGAAAAATAAGGATTTAATTTTTTAATATTTAAAAATAAATTTGAATAAATGTTTAACTTAATATATTTTCAGTTCTTTTTTACCTAACACCTACTGCAGTGTAGCAGTAAGAAGCTTTAATGCAGATTATTAAGGTGAAGCTTGACTACAAAATAAAATTTGACTACAAAATTCAGCTAAAAATTAAATTGAAATCCCAATATCTGTCAAACAAAAAATGTAATTTTTTTTCTTTTTTAATATTTCCCAAATTATGTTTAACAGAGTCAGGAAATTTTCACAGTATGTCTGAAAATATTTTTTTTCTTCTGGAGAAAGTCTTATTTGTTTTATTTTGGCTAGAATAAAAGCAACTTTAATTTTTTTAAAGACCATTTTAAGGTAAAAATTATTAGTCCCTTTAAGCTTTTATTTGATAGTCTACAGAACAAACCATCGTTATACAATAACTTGCCTTATTACCCTAACCTGTCAAGTTAACCTAATTAACCTAGTTAAGCCTTTAAATGTCACTTTAAGCTGTATAGATATGTCTTGTATTTAGTAAAATATTATTTACTGTCATCAAGGTAAACATAAAATTAATCAATTATTAGAAATGAATTACTAAAACTATTATCTTTAAATGTGTTAAAAAAACTCTTCTCTCCATTAAACAGAAATGTGTGTGTGTGTGTGTGTGTGTGTGTGTGTGTGTGTGTGTGTGTGTGTGTATGGGGGGGGGTGGTAATAATTAAGGTGGTTTAATAATACTGACTTCAACTGTATTTCAATTGCACAGCCTTATCGTGTACTAATAATAAAAAATGAAAGTTATATTGTAACGTTGTTACTAAGTTGTTATTTTTTAGGCAGATATGGCTTGAAACTACACTTTCATTTCACCTTAATTATTAAGGAAGCAGGTGCAATTATATTTCGCAGTGCTTCAAAAATATCAAGGTTAAGGAATGCATTGACCTTGAAAACTTCATAATTTCTTCCAAATGCAGTGACTTCAGTTTTCATCCTGTTTATCTGAAGACCGTTTTGACACATGATCCAACTGTTAATTTTATTATTGCGTTGGCAGAGGGAGTCATCAAGCAATAGGGTTAAGTGTCATTTGCATAGCTGCAGTTAGTAGTTTGGTTCTATTTTATTATATATGCTTGAAAATGTACAGGTTGAACAGAAGTGGTCCTAGTATTGAGCTTTGTGGCAATTCAAGTTTATGTCCACTTTGATTTATATATGTTGCAGTATGTTGCAGTGCCCTAATTATTCTTCACCCCCTGTTATTATGTTCTTGAATTCTTCAACATTTTTATCTCCAGGTATGAAAACACACTCCCATGTCAGGTGCATTTTTCTTTTGATTAGTCTATGGGTGGGATTTCGAAAAATGAATAAAAGCAAATCCGTAAATCCCCAGAAACCTCATGATTGTTCTCCACATCTAACCAGAGCATTTCTTCTATGATAGGAGTTAAATAAGCTAGAGCCAAATCAAATACACACAGCGCTTTGTCAATTTTTTGGGAGGGAAAGGGGGCATATAGAGGGAGCAGGGCTTATTTTACTTAGTAATCCCGGATATGATCTATCATGCCTTCTCTATCCAGCACAGCTGCCTGTCCAGGGTCCAGGTTGGACGTCTCCAACAGACAGCTCTTTGTGGAGCTGAAGGAGGAGGCACTACTTAAACAAAGGACAGGGCTAAGCTTAATCACTGGAGTGATATGCAGATAAAGCTATATGAAAGCGTGGCGGTGCTTTATAGTCTAATGGTTTGGCTGAAATTTTAGGCTGGCCCAA